ATCCCCTGAAGGTGATCCCCAATTGGGGAATGGCTAGTACAGGTGGGCTAAATTCATGTTACCACCTTGACCACCTTCCCAAGGAAATTAAAGGGCCAGGGCCCTGCTGCCACGGACTGGAAGGAATATTTTTGACACCAAGAGGCATTGTATTGGGAGAAATAGTGACTGAAGAAGGCAGCAGAGATAATGTAACCTAGATAAGGATTCAAGACCTCTAAAATGGCCTTTTCAGGTAAGGACCTCCCATTTGACTTTTAATTATAAAGGTTTCTCTAGCCATTCTGCCATGCAAGAGATCCATCAATGGAACAAATCCACAGAGGAAAAAGAGAACAGGACTGTAGCGAATCTCCTGTGATTTTTTCCTCACCTAGAGATGCTGTGTGCTTAGTGAGGAGAAAAACACATTTTTAAGCAAGTGAGGGCACTTATGTGTGAAAGTTGGTAGTATTTTAGGAAGCCTCAGAATAAGTAGATTGTTCTGGAATAGTTTACTTTTGGAATTCTAACTTCAATCCTCTAGGGCTGTTTCAACATCTGAGTCTTTTCTCATCCCGTCCACCCAACTCCACCCTCCCAGCCTCACAAGGCTCTTTAGAGGAGGCTATGCTTCTGTTGAGGGGATGGGTGTAATTTAAATTGTTGGGGTAAGAAATGCCTCCCAAAGTTCGTTTTTCCTTAAAAATTTCTGTCAAGCCCTCTGCACTATCCCTCTGGGACAGAACTGTGTCCCTACCACTGACTGTCATCTCAGCTCTGCAGTCCCTTGAAGAAGTGGAATCTTCCACTACATTTGGGCTTCCCCCGACTCTGACATTTAATGAGACTCAAGCTCCATCTCTCCCTTCTTATTAGTGAAGAAGCCCAAAGATCTCTAACAAGAGAATTAAACCCATCAAGAAAGAACTGGACAGAAAAACTGGCTGTAACCCCCCTCCCACACACACACACGTCCTTAAACTTGTAAATTGGAAAGAAGATCTGATTTCCTGGAACCACATTTGGTGCAAAACCATGGGAATGTTCAAAACTAACAAATAGTTTTCTGAAGCTTAATAAAATCATTTTATTAAGACATACAAAGATCAGAGGGTTCAGAGGAGAGCTTACCAACTCTGAGGTTTTACTTCCAACCTTAGTTTAGAACCTCCTGTGGTATACTGCATGCCACTGAAATGAATAACATCTCCCAAGAAACCACTTTCTCTAAGAACCCCTAAAGGTGTCTGAGTTCAACTGGAACACCGCTGTTGGAGAGTAGCTGGAACTCACTGCTCGTTCCTGGTTCAAAGCCCGCATTGGGGTTATTTCACCATGTCTTACCTTCCCGTACTTAGCTTGTGGGTGATTTGAAGACAAAGACTTTTCTGTCGTGATACCAGCCATGATACTCAGTACCTGGGAAATACCTGGGCAAGTTTTTGGCCCTAAAATTTACCTCACAAGTTTCGTACACTTTCTGGTAATTTCCATTATGCAAGGCAGATTTCCAGTCTAATATATATACCATACTTCATAGTCTACAGAATGTTTTTACAACCATATTCCCATTAGGTCCTTAAAATGTCATTGTGCTATAAGGCTGCATAATCACTCTTTTACAGATGGAGAAGCAGGGGTTTACCCTGCTAATTAAATGACAGGAAGGGGAGTAGAACCTACGACCCTGACACCTGTGTTTTGTGTGCACTACACCTTACTGCCTCACAGACGGAACTGCTTTCAAGCTCAAGCTTTTTGTAGGCTGGAGAGTCTGGGGGAAAGCACTTGGATGTACATATGTCCTCCGAAAGTGTAAATAACCTGAAGTGTCCACACTTAAAGCACATCATGTGATGTGAATATAGTTGCCGTGGAGTCAATTTTGACCCATAGCCACCCCACGTGTTACAGAATAGAACTGCCTCATAGGGTTTTCTTGGCTGTAATCTTGAGGGACGCAGATCGCCACGCCTTTTCTTCCGCAGTACCGCTGGGTGGGTTGAACCGCCAACTTTTAGGTTAGCAGTCCAGGGCAAATTTCTTCGCCATCTACTTAAGTCTCTTCCTGGGGCTAGGTGGAGGGGTTGGGAGTCACTTCCTTCTCCAGGCCTCAGTTTCCTCCTCTGTGGCGCTGGGTTGGACTACTGGCGTATTAAATGGGTTAAACGGAGACTGGCGGCAGTAGATCTCTTTCGCTTCACCCCCTGGCCTTGGCCGCCCGGGAATTCAAAGCAGTCACGTGCAGGAGCCCCAGCAGGAGCTGTGCAGAGCAGTTCTAAGAACTGGCTGGGACGCACGGCGCACACCGCGCGCAGAGCGCACAGCACCGCGGGCACTCGCCCGCCTGCACCCGTGGCCAGGCCCTGGGCCGGGTACCACGGCGGCGCCCGGCGCGGATAAGGCGTGGCCCGGGTCTGAGCCCTGGGGCCTCCGGCCGGAGGCTCCAAACTGGCTGAACTCAGCGCCCCGCGCCGGGTTCCCACGGCCGCGCCGGAGCGCGGAAGGCGCATGCGTGTCGCGGGCCCGCCGCTGGAGGGACGGGGCGAGCCGGGAGCAGGCGCTTCTCCAGCGCCGGAGGGAACTGCGCGTGCGGCTAATTAACGCCTCTCAAGGGCACTGGGCGATTAGAATGGATTTTCCACCGAGGCTGTAGGGTTGAAAGAGGCTCAGGAGATCGTCCTGGAGTCGGGACTTATAGAACAGTGGTTCAGGGTGCTTGTTAAAATTGCAGATTCCTGAGCCCCATCGCCAGCGGCCTGGGGAAGACCCAGGAATCTCCATTCTTAATCACCCCAGATATTTCTGATTGAAGTGGTCCTCATTGGCTGGCCCCACCCTCTTGTTGCCAGGACTGTAGAAACTGCTGCAGAGAAGCAGAGAAGTGATTGGCCCAACGTCACACGGAATGAAGCGGCAGAGCCTGACACGTGCCCACTTGCCCTCCCCATAGTTTTCATGTATCTTATTGCCTCATTTTCCGAGCGTGGCTTCATGAGTACCAGGCAAGCTGGCAGGCAGTTCATTCATACTATAACTAAAACACTGAAGTCCCGTTCCCAGGACACTCAAAGACCCCATCCAACAAGTCCACATCAAAGCTCCACTCTCAGCTTTGACCCTCCGCCAGGATCGCCTTAATCTGCTTAGGGATTGGGGTATGCTAGAGGAAGCTATGCCCACCCCCTGGGAGGACAATGGCTGATTTGGGTGCACACACCCCCTCAGATCCACACATAGATCCACACTCCTCCCAGCATGTGATCAGGAAGGACCATGGATATACAGTATCACAGCAGAACCCAACAAGTATGTCAAACGCTCCCATGTCCGCATGCATGTCTGTGGATTTGGGGGTGTGCGACCCACTCATGCGTGTTGCATTCTGGCTCATTCACTAACGGGCAGTGTCCCCAGTCCAGGACAGCTGAGTCACGTATGCAAACGGACACATCCAAGGGCCTGGCTGGGGAAACGGACACTCCCTCGCATACCCTCACAAGATGCAGCCAAGATCCCCTACAACTCCCACCCCTGCTGGAGCCGGCCACATCCCTCCCGAGGACAAAGCCCGGAAAACAAAGCCTGCCTGCGTGGAGGGGAGAGGGCCTGAGGCTGCAGACGCTGGGGACTTACTTGCTTTCAGGATCGCCCCAGGTCTGGGAAGAGAGCAGCTGCAGAGTAATTGTGCCAGGTTTCCATGCCCTGGGCTGGTCCTTATGGCCGTCCTGTGGGATGCGGCTGGGTGCTCTCAAGGCCCCCCAACGCTGGTCTACAACATGCCATCTCCCTCTGTCCTGCCCATATCACTGCCCCTCTGTATCTGTCCTGCTCCGGCCGGGCTGTGTCAAAACCTCAAGGCTGCAACTCTTTCCCAGAAAGCTAGGAGTACAGCTGTGAGCCCCATTCCCCATGGGGGGCTTCCAACTCTCCCTCCTGGCTCCAGATGTAAGGGAACAGCTGTGGGGGTGGCAGGCAGCCCAGCTGGCGGCTAAGCAGGGCCTGGAAGATGGACAACAAAGGGGCAGGAGAAGCACGTGGACAGCAGAACTGTTCAGGACCCTAGAGAGCTGGTAAGGGAACTGTGCCATCCTTGGCCTGGTGATGGGCTGATGGGCCTCGCCAAACCTCTCGTTGCAGCCCTACCCACTCCAATCGTGGCGGCCTGGACCACTGGCAGGACCGTCCAGAAACTCCATTTTATGATTCCCACTTAATCTGGGAAGGGAAACTTGGCTTCCTTTGTCAGGCCCCACCCGTCCTCAAAACACATACCGCCCACTATTCAATTTCAGTAACTGAAGACTGGAGAGGGAGAGAGGAAGATGGGAGGGCTCAGCCACTCCCACCCGGCATCCGGCAGTCTCCTCCTGGCCCGGAAGTACACCAGGATGCAGGGAGCCGGCGGCGGGGGGCAGGCGGGGATCTGACAGGCAGGGTGCCGTGGGCACCACTGGCTCGCTTGTGACACCAGGGTGATTCCGGCACTGTATTCAATAAAGATTTCTTCCCTAAATGACCATTCCCTGGACCCTGCCCTGGGCCCCACTGCCAGGATAGGGGGCCCCTGCTGTGCCCCATCCGTGTCCCCACCACCCTGCAGGAACACAGCGCTCCACAATAGCGTCAGTTTTAGGAAAAATAGTTTAATGGCAGGTTTGAAACCTCTTTTCTAGATAGGGTCCCCATCTCCATAGAACCCCCCACTAATGCTCTTCCCATGCCTGCTGGGAGGCTGCAGCCCCTCTGGAGGGCCCCTATGCTCTTGACTCCCCCATCCTGCTGGGAGGCCTGCTCTGGGTCTAGGTCCTCGTGGGCCATCACATGGTTTTATAAAAAGTGAGCACAACAGTGTGCCATGCCCCTTTCCCGGATGTCATGGGACCAGCCCACAGCACCTTCTACCCCTTAATTAAATAGCCCGTTAAATAATCTCTCGGAGCTGGCAGAGGGGATGCCACGGCAACAAGCCCCGTCCTGGGTCGGCTCCTGCAGGCCCTGTGCCTCCGCCTGACTGCATCTGGGTTCCACAAGAGCAGCCCGGGGCACGGCCACCTCTCAGCCCTGGCCAGTCCCGGGACCTTCTCCCCGGATGGGGAGCTGAGTCCAAGGGGATCACGCTGGCACCGGGCACCCCCACAGCCATGGATGGGGGGCGGGGGTCTCTCGCAGCAGAGTGGGCAGACAGACGGGTACAACTCGTGCCCAAGTCAGAAGTAAGTGAGGTTCTTGATGACTCCGATTTCCAGCATCCGCTTGATGGCCAGTGCCTCCTGGGAGATATTGTGGCCCGACCCCTGTGGGAGAGCCAAGGAAGCAAACTCAGGGACTCCCGACGATCCCTCCGCCCCCAGGAAAGTCTCCTTTCCCCTGCCCCACGCTTCCGGGCGCGCCCTTCCCTGTGCCGCCTCTGGGAAAGGAAGACAGCCAGTGTGGCGGGATATGGAAGACCCTGGCCTGGGAGTCCAGGAGCCTTGGTTCCAGTTCCGACTCTCTGAATGACCTCACCGTGAGCGAGCAGACCCCTGGCACACCCTAACTCACCCAGTGTTCCCCTGATTTCTGGTCCCCAGGTCCATCCACCCCACCCAGTCAGCAGGCAGGGGCCACTTACCGCCATGGACTTGAGTGTGATCTGCTCGTAGTAGTGAATGGTCTGCTTCTTGTTGTAGACATCTGGGTAGCCAAAGCCAGCAATGTGCACCAAGTCACAGAAGTGGAGGGCTAGGGTGATGGCCAACAGGCCCGTAGTGGGCTTCTGGGAGACGAGGAATGGGGCAGGTTTTAGAGGAACCCCTGTGCCCTTTCACCACCTTCTAGACCAATGCAGCCCAATGGAACTTTGTACGAATATGGAAATGTTCTCTGTCCGTGCTGTCCACTACTGTAGTCAGCAGCCGCATATGCTACGGAGCAGGTGAATGGAGTCAGTACAACTGAGGCACTGAGGTTTTCAATTGGATTTCATTTGAATTCACTTTAAATAGCCACATGTGGCTAGTGGCTAGCGTACTGAATGGTGCAGCTCAACACATCTGGGGAGGGTCTGTCCCTCTAGGGATACTGACGGCAGTGCATATAGCAATAATGGCAATAACGGTATCTATTATTTTTTTGAGCACTTACTACGTACCAGACACTATGTTAAGTATTTCACCCAGTATAGTGTTATCTCATCCCGTCCTCACTCACAAAAACACTCTGGGGAAGACAGTCCTGTTATCTCCATTTTACAGAGGAGGAAACAGTTTTCCAAATGCTAGGCAACTTGCCCAAGCAATGGAAGGTTCTGTCCCTCTCCTTGGAGAACCCTGGCTCTTTCAGAAGATCTGGCAGCTCTGCCACTGACTGGCTGGATGGCCCTTTCTGAGGGTGGGCTCTCCCCTCTATAAAGTGGGGACAGCAATACCTTTCCTACCCAATTTATGGGCTGCTATGAGGACCTCGGAGCCATCGTGGCACAGTGGTTAAGAGCTCGGCTGCTAACTGAAAGGTCGACAGTTTGAATCCACCAGCTGCTCCTTGGAAACCCTGTGGGGCATATCTGCTCTGTGCTAGAGGGTCTCTATGAGTCGGCATTGACTTGATGGCAGTGGGTTTGGTTTTTTGTTTCTATGAGGACCTCACTTCCTCTATCTCTAATCCATCCACAGGGATGGGCAAGGTGATATTCTAACCTCCCAAGTCTTGCATTCCTCAGCTCCAGTGACGTCCTTTCCAGACACTTCGGCTGCCCACTCCATTTGGGAGCCATGTCCTAGACCTTGCCAGGCCCCTAATGTTAGGCCTCCCCCAGGGTCCCTGTCCAAGCTCTCCTGTATCTCATCCTTCACTCCCTTCCTGGCCTTGTTGCTTTAACCGCCACTGCAGCATCTCCTCCTAGTTCAGACCCTGCTGAATTACACTTCCACTGTCTTCAGGCCAGCTCTGCGTGGACATGGCATCTTACACCCAAAAGCCTCCTCCGCCTCCCCCGGTATTCCCTGTCACTGTCTTGTCCAAGCTGGAAACCTAGAACTGGTCATAAATCTTTCAATTCTCTGCCTGATGAACCCCCACAATTTCTCAAGACCCAACTCTACTACTGTTTCCTCTGGGAAGCCCTCCCAGACAGCCCTAAGCTGTCCCTCCTCCAACATCCCTGAGCACCTGGAACAACCTCTGTTGTAGCATTTTATCACTGGACAGTGCTGCCTGTCTGTCTGTCTGCTAGACAGGGCTTCCTTAGGGCCAAGACTATGTCTCACTCCTTGCAGGCCAGCTTGGGGCCTGACACTGAGCAGGCAAAAGCCCAGATTCAAAATATGTTTGTTTACTGAAGTTGAATAATAGGAGATACTCACTAAAGAATAAAAATTATTTAAACAAAATTTGGAAATATGTATGTATGGAGCACCCACTGTGTACCAATCTCCATGACAGACACTTTACATAATTAATTATCTTCTTAAATCCTGCAGTAGTTCTCCTAGGTCAGTACTAATATGATCTCCGCCATTATTGTTGTTGTTAACTGGGCTGAGTTGAACTGTGCTCCGTAGGGTTTTCAAGGAAGTGATCTTTCGGAAGCAGATCACCAGGCCTGTCTTCAAAACACCTCTGGGTGAGTTCAAACCACCAACCTTTCAGCTAGTAGTCAACTGTTTAACTGGATGCACCCCCCAGAGACTCCTATCCCCACCAAATGGATAAGAAAACCAAGGATCCAAGCAATTGACCTGGCAAAGGCCACACAGGAAACAGCCCAGCCGAGAGCCGTCTCTGCGACTGCTAGCGTACATCTTTCCACTGTCCTCCACAGGGTCTGTGAGGGGTTCAAAAGATGGGCGTGAACCTGCTTGGGAAGCTGCAGAGTGTGTTAAAGCCCACCCACTGAAGAAGACTAGGAGCTGAAGCTGAAACCGTAACTTGCAAAACTGAACCGTGACTCACAAAATTGAGAGACTGCCCCAAACCATGGCATGCAAGGCACACGATTTACACTCCAACTCTTTTCACCCATTCGGACCAAAATGTTCCAAGATAAGACCACAGATGAACTGATCTAAGAGTCATGTAGTCCCGGGCTCACTGTTCTAAAGATAAGACTGACCACTGACCGTTGCAGCAACTCCTCAGTCTGCAAATTCTGACCAGTACCTGCCAGCACCACCCTCTAGCTCCAGCCCCCAAGCCCTATACATACCTTCCCTAACTCCCCACTTTCGAGATAGCCCACAGTTGATAGCTTCAGCCAGCTAATAAACCTGACTTTGATTACAGAAGTGTTCCTGAAGGTTGGTGAGTTTTAACAGGTGCTATTCAAATGCAAGCTGCTGTTATTCTTCTCCCCTCTCATGGGGTCCTCCACCGCTTTCCAAGCCTCCAGGAAAGTGCCACCTCTGTCCCACCCAGGACTCCCACCCACTGGCCTGGCTTCCTGTCTCCAGCCCCTCATCACCTGCTTCATCTTGCGGAGCTGTTGCATTGGCAGACTCAGCAGTCTGTCGGCTGCAATCTCCATGAAGAAGGGGTTGAGAATCCGAATCTGTTTTGGGTTGACATCCCAGATGAGGGGAGGCTGTTTCCAGAAACCCTTTCGCACCTGGAGGGGGAGAGATGGAATGAAGACCTGTTCATGAGGTCCAGCGTGGTGGTCCTCAGTCAGGAGCCCTCAGGAGTGCAGAAGTGAGAGGAAAGGGAGGTGGGGGCCAATGCTAGAGAAGGAACGAGACGGAGGAGAGGACCAGGGAGAGAGAGGGTGCCCCTAGAGGAACCAGGTGACAAGGTTTGTAGAGTGTGGGATCCAACCATTCCCCACCTCCAAGGCTATCCCAGCAGGGAGAAGGGGTTTGAGTTAGGCTCTTTGGACACTTGGCAAAAATGCCACACTGGACAGTCCAACACTGACCCAATGACAAAGAGATGTAGTGGAATCCTGCTGGGGACCACCCAGAAGGGCACAGCCTGAGACTGTTCTCACCTGCCCCCTGCCTGGAGATGACTCTGGAGGATCTCTCCACTCCCCTTCCCACAGGCAAATACGTATTCTGACCGCCTTCCTGCCCCAGACAGGCCTCAAGCCTGGAGGGGCCATTGGGGCCGAAGCAGTCAAGATCCTCAGTGTTCTCCTGGGCTGCCACTGCCCGACTCCCACAGGCTCTCATCCCTGGCTGCTGGGCGCCTGATGAGTCGCCCTGCAGAGCACTGACCTCGGCCGAGCTCGCGCCTTCCCCTCACCACCTCTTCAGGAATGCAGGGCAGATGGGGAGTGTGCGGTCCTGACTCAGCGTGTCCCCACCCCCAGGCCTTTTCTCTCCACCAGCCCCTGCACTTACCCGCTTCTTGTCACTCAGGATGGTCTCAATCCAGTGGAAGTCCATTGCCTTGAATGCCACCAGGACCAAGAGTGTGTCTGGGTTATTCTCCACTTTGGGGTTGAAGTGGGCAGACTCAGGGTAGAAGAGACGCATGGAGGTCTTGGAGCCCACGTCCCCCTCGTAGCCAGCCACCGGGGCGTTGTTCAGTCTGGAGGGTGCAGAGGGATGCCCATCACCAAGAGCACCGAGGGGCTTGCCCACTGTCCAAATACCAAAGAGCTCCAAACAGAGGAGGGCAAGGGGCAGCCATACCGACCTGATGACCACGTCGTACTTGTCGATGGCGTCTCCCAGTGAGCTGTTCCGTAGCCGATGCCCATTGCCCACCACCACACAGCGGCGGCACTTCAGGCTGCCATGGGAGAAGGGAGCGTGAGGTCCAGAAGCACCCCTGCCCCACTGAACTCTCACTGTCCTGGATCTGTCTGTGGCCTGTCTCAGGGTCCCTTCCTAGGGCCCCCTCAACCTCTGGTCCCCATGGACCAGGGAGCTCCAAGTGGCCCTGCTGGTGGTCATGCTGGCTTTGTAGCCCTGGGCTTTAAAGGGCAAGGGAACTGGGGAAGCACGGAAGAGAGAGAGAGAGAGGAGGGAAAGCACAGTCGGAGCGCCCTGCCTGCTGCCCAGTCCTGCCTGTTGCCATGGCGATACCCTTAGCAGCCTCTGCCTGCTCTGGCACCGAGACGCCCAGGCTGTGTTGCCATGGGGACTGGCAGACCTGGATCCCCTGGAGGCAGGCAGGCTGGCTAGGAAGAAGGGTCAAAATTGGCCACAGGGAAGCAGAGACAAGGAGGCTCCCTGGGATGGAGCCAGGCGTGACTCGCACACCAGGCAGGAAGAAGAGAAGCGGTCAGATGCGAGGCGGGAAGCGTCTCCTTACCTCTGGATGCTCTCTGGCATGGCGTAGCTGGTGATGGCTAGAACCCGGAGGAGCAGGTCTTCTACAAAAAGGAGGTTGGAAGGGTACTGGTGACAACAGCTGGCAGTCTGAAGGCTGTCCCCCCACCCTCCATGGCCCCTCAGAGCCTGCCCTGCCCTGTCCCTGAGCCTGGCTCAGAACTAGGGCACTGGGGCCACGGGGAACAAGGAACAGGAAGCGGTATGGCCAAGGATGATCCATCATTCCTCCTAAGCTGGGTGGGTCCTTACCACTCCCCTTGGTCCCATAGGGCAGCTCATAGGCAGAAGGTGTCTTCACCCAGAAAAAGTCCTTAAGCTGAAGGAAAATGGGCTGGTCTCGGGAGGAGCTGCACAGAGGCGAAAGCAGGGTCGGGAAGAGGAAGGGATTAGTTCTGATGCCAGAAGCAGGACCAGGCCCCTGACTAACATACGTCCATATCCAAGGGTCTCCCCTTCCTCTCTGGCTTCACCCAACCCGAGACCACCAACCCACTCCCCTCCCTCCAGCTAGCCAGGACTAGGAACCCCTCGATCCCAGCTCACCCCGTGCCCGGCCTCCACCTCATCCTCACGTACTTGCCAAAAATCTTCACGGCCTTCCTCTCCGTCTCACCCTGGACGCACGGCTCCCTCTTCTCTGGGATAGGAAAATAGAAGCTGGAGACAGACAGGGTGGGGAACGTGGAGCTCCAGTCAGACCTCAGCAGCCCAGGAGCCAGCAGCCCAGCAGCCTCGACCTTCTTCAATGGCACAAGGGTCCCAAGGCGCTGGAGAGGGACCTGGGGACTGATTCCACTTGTAGGTGGATCATCTCAACCCAAGTTCCACTTTGAAACCAAATCACGGAGAATCCAGCCTGCCCCCCTGGGTGAGGGCTGGGGGAGTCATCCCAGACCTGACCCTCCAGGCCACCATCTCCCCTCAACTTGCTCCACAGGAGCCCATGCTAGCAGCTGAAGGAGCGAGGTCAGGCCCGGCTCTCTGCTCCTCCTGCCCTCCTTGGGCCCCCTCTGAGACTGAGGGCTGGAAAGCCCCATCCCTGAAAAGAACCCATGGACATGGAAGATGGACTCACAGCTCAATATACCTGTCTTCTCGGGAGATGGAATACCACACCATGACAACCAGGACCAGCGCCAGCATGGCCAGGAGCTTCCAGCCTGCAGGGCACATGTACAGAGGAGCTGGAGACAGACACAGAGGGCACCGTCCTGGTCCACCACATTCTCACCTGCCATTGCGGGCTCCTCTAACCCCAGCTCCAGCAGACTCAGGCCCTGGTCCTGCCCCGGCGCTAGCTTTACAGTAAGGCCTTGGACCAGAGTGTTCCCACTGTCCTTCAAAATGAAGTGCCGGGCCTCTGACTCCTCGTTTGTCCCCACCCCTCCAGTCCCCAGGGGTCTCAGGATGCCATTCAGGAAGGGCCCATCCTGCAGGGCGAGGGAGCACTTGGACCACACTCACGGGACTTGCTGGTCATGTTTTTCAGCGGGTGGCTCGGTTCCTGGGGAGAGCTGTCATCCCGGCTGCCTCCGGCCACCTAGGAGGAAGGAGTCAGAGGTGTCTGGTGGGTTCCACAAACACTCCCGCCTAGACAATGGAGCAGAACATGCCCATAGCCCACCCCTTTCCTCCTCCAGAAATCACGAAGCTGCTCCAAGGACACACGTCCAAGAGAGGCCTTTCGCACCTTGACGTCCTCCTAGCCCCTCCAAGGGCAGCTTCCGAGATCCAGGGGGTTCCCTGGACCAAGAGAGGGAAACCAGGGTCCACTCCTGCAAGGATCAGGCCCCAAGCATCTTCCAGCTCCTCCGGCATTGTCCCCTCACCTGTCTCCTTCCCCATTCGACCTACGCATTTTTTACAAAAAAGTAAAGCTAACTGTGTAAGGGCTGACAGTTTTCCCCGATGAAGCTACCTCTTCCCCAGCTTCCAAGTCAGCACACCACCCATCTCTTCATCATCAGTCTCCTACTACTTCAGCCAAACAGGTCTGCTAGGGCCAGAGACCAGGGGATGAGGGTAGAGCTACAAGATGGCCCCTGGGGCTTCCTCCAGCCCTTCCCACTCTGACTGAATGCAAACACCCAAGGGCGTGGGGGAAACTTACAGAAGAAAAGGTGTTTGAATGGGGAGCGTTTTAGTTATAAATGAGTGGCTTTAACAAACAAATTTATTTTCTCACAGTTTAGGAGGCTAGAAGTCTGAATTCAGGGTGCTGGATCTACGGAAGGCTTTCTCTCTCTGTTGGCTCTGGGGGAAGGTCTTTGTTTCTTCTGAGCTTCTGCTCCTGGGTGATCTTCATGGGGCTTGGTATGTGTCTTCCCCCATCTCTGCTTCCTTGTTTAATCTCTGTTATATCTCAAAAGAGATTGACTCAGGAACATCCTACACTAATCCTGCCTCATTAACATAACAAAGACAGCCCATTCCCAGATGGGATGATAACCACAGGCACAGAGGTTAGGATTACAATCTATTTTGGGGGGGATATAATTCAATCCATAACAGGGAGCGAAGGGAGCTAGAAGGGGAGACCCTTCCAGGCAGGTGCAGGTAGGAGAGCTGTTACACGCACGCGAACAGGCGGAGGGGTTTCTGATCGCCAAGACTCAGCCGTGGCCATGCTTCTGAGTCACTGGGGAAGAAATTTCTTCAGTTTCCACAGCCACAGGAAGAGGCAGGAAGACACCAGCATGCCAGAGTCTTCCAGCCACATCATGTTCCCCATGTGATCCTAATCATAAGAATCATCGGGGCTGCTTCTGAAAATACAGATTTCAGGGCCCCTCCCTGGTGGATGATCCATCAGCCTGGGGCAGGAGCCGGTCAGGACCTGGGCAGGGCCAGCCAGTTTCACAAGCAGCCCAGGTGATTCCTGAAGTGCTGGTGTTTGCACTCTCCAGGGAATAAATGGAAAACCTCGAATCATTTCTCAGCAGGCAGCATCTGCACTGTTGTTGTTGGTGGGTGCCATTGAATCGGAATGAAATAGTGCCTCGTCCTGCCCCATCCTCACAGTCTTTGCTATGTTTGAGTTCACTGTTGTAGTCACTGTGTCAATCCATCTTGTTGAGGGTCTTCCTTTCTCTGACCCTCTACTTTACAAAACATGATGTCCTTCTCCAGTGACTGGTCCCCCCTAATAACATGTCCAAATACGTGAGACAAAGTCTCACCATCCTTGCTTCTAAGGAGCATTCTGGCTGTAGTTCTTCCAAGACAGATTTGTTCGTTCCTCTGGCAGTCCATGGTATATTCAATATTCTTTGCCAACACCATAATTCAAAGGCATCAGTTTTTCTTCGATCGTCTTTATTCAATTGTCCAGCTTCCGCATGCATATGAGGAGACTGAAAATACCATGGCTTCGGCCAGGACCGTCTTAGTCCTCAAGTGACATCTTTGCTTTCTAACACTTTAAAGTGGTCTTTGGCAACACATTTGCCCAATGCAATATGTCATTTGAGTTCTTGACTGCTGCTTCCACAGGCATTGATTGTGGATCCAAGTAAAATGAAATCCTTGACAACTTCAATTATTTTCTCCGTTTATCATGATGTTGCTCATTGATCCACTTGTGAGGATTTTGGTTTCTTTATGTTGAGGTGTAAACCTATATTGAAGGCTGTGGTCTTTGATCTTCATCAGTAAGTGCTTCAAGTTGTCTCTACCTTCAGCAAGAAAGGTTGTGTCATCTGCATATTGCAGGTTGTTAATGAGTCTTCCGCCAATCCTGATGCCTCGTTCTTCTTCATATAGTCTAGTTTCTTGGATTATCTGCTCAGCATACAGATTTAATAAGTATGGTGAAAGGACACAACCCTGACACACACCTTTCCTGATTTTAAACCATGGAGCCCTGGTGGCACAGTGGTTAAGAGTTTGGCTGCTAACCAAAAGGTTGGCAGGTTTGAATCCACCAGCCGCTCCTTGGAAGCCCTACGGGACAGTTCTACTCTGTCTTTAGGGTTGCTATGAGTCGGAATCGACTTAACAGCAATGAGTTTGGTTTTTGTTTATATGACATTCTGGAAAAAGTAGAACTATAGAGACAGGGTAAAGATGAGTGGTTTCAAGGGGGTGGGGGCTGGGAGATGAGCAGGTGGAGCACGGGGCATTTTTGGTCAGTGAAACTATTCTGTATGATATTGTAATGATGGACACATGACTATGCATTTGTTGAATCCTATAGGACTGTACAAGGCAAAGAGTCACCCCTAATGTAAACTGTGGACTTTAGTTAATAACAATGTATCAGTATCGGTTCATGGGTTGTAACAAATGTGCCCCAGGAAAGTCAGATGTTAATACAGTAAAACCTGTGAAAGCCCGAACCTGTGTAAGGCGGAAACCTGTCAAGAAGGAAAACAAATATTTTCCACTAAAAGGAGCATAGAGAAGCAGGAAGAGTGCCCCCTGCCAAAGGCAGAAAGCTTGCGAGACCCGCAAAAACAAGGCTGCTTGGCTCTCAAAAGCAGTGTGCTGCGGGGCGCCGGCGGGGGGGCGGGGGTGTACATGGGAGTCCCTGCGCTTTCTGCAGTTTTTCTGTAAACCTAATAACCGCTCTACAAATAAAATCTATTTAAAATAAAAATCACTATATATCTCTACTTATCAGATCTGTGGCATGGGCATCACGTGGAAGCTCTCTCCACCAGTACCAGCTGCCATCGAGGCAGACCCCCCGACATATACACGTGTCAGAGCAGAACTGTGCTCCGTAGGGCTTTCAATGGCTGATTTTTCAGAAGCAGATCACCAGGCCTTTCTTCCGAGGCGCCTCCGGGGAGATCCCAACTGCCAGCCTTTCGGTTAGCAGCCATGCCTGTTAACCATTAGCGCCGCCTGGGGATTCGGAAGCACATTCAAGTGGGAAAAGCACTAATCAAGACCCAGGTTCTTGGCCTTGGCTGGACAGGAGCACAGGCAAATGAGTGTCTGACTGGTGATGGGCACACAACATGCTTAACGGAACTGGTGTCACGGAACAGTACATGTTAAAAATGCTGAACTGGCAAATGTTGTGTTATATTTTTTACAACAATTTAAGAAAATGAAAAAGAAAGAAAACTGCACGGAGCTAGTTCTGTTCTGATGCACACAGAGTCGCGGTGAATTGGCATCCGCTCGACAGAAGCTGGTGGCAGCAGTGGCAATGGTGGGGCTTTCTTAAAAAATAAAAATAAAAATAAGTGTCCGGGTCCCACCCATAGAAATGCTGATTTAATCAGTCTGGCCCAGACATTGGAAAGGAACTCTGGTAGGACAATAGTTAAGCGCCCAGCTACTATCCAAAAGGTCGGTGGTTCGAATCCACCAGCTGCTCCACCAGCAAAAAGATCTGGCGATCTGCTCCCTCAAAGATTACTGCCTAGAAAACCTTATGGGGGAGTTCTACTCTGTCACACAGCGTCTATGAGTCGATGACCAACTCAACAGATCCTTACACCAACAACAGGCACTGGAATTTTTTGTAAGCACCCAGGCGATTCGCATCATTACTGTAGGAACAGTATGCTCCTACCCTCCTCTCTCCCCTCGTTCCTTTCCTGACCAGGATTCACTTCTCTCCCTTACAGCTGTAGCTTACAACACTGGCTGTCCAACAAAATCGCCTGAGGGGTTCCAAAACAGAGAGATGTCTAGGTCCCCTTCTCCAAGACTCTCATTGAACTGGTTGGGCAGGGCTCAGGCACTGGTATTAAAAAACAAAACAAACAAGTATAAATCTAACAAAACACATAGAACATCTGTATGAAAAATGGCAAAATGCTGATAAAAAAAAAAAGATCTAAATACACAGACATTGTTCGTGGATCGAAAGAGTCAAATTAAAGTTAATAACTATTGCATGTAATAAAATAAGGTAAAGTGAAAAAGCAAACAAAAATCCACCTCCCTTGTGAATCTAACACGTAGCCAAGATGAAAAACACTGCATCGAAGTTGTCCCACAGTCACTGAAAGACGAGTACTCTCCCACCCCAGTGGCCCTACCTGGACCGAGGAGACCTACGGTGGTCAGCAGTGAGCAGTCCTGACCACTTGTCAGCAACAAGACAATCACCCCTTCTCTGACCTCTGCCCCAGGAAAGTTCTGCATTGCTGTCATGTTCCAGAACTGTGCTGGTGTTGTGCTAAGCAGACTGGCTAGTCATGGGCTTGCTGGAAAATGCCCAATCAGGGATTGAATGGGCCCCTTCTCCTTGCTGGGTCCAGTGCAGAGGATTGCTCCGCAGCCTCCAGGTATTCCAGGAACTGGCTTCTGGGCGGCTGCTCCCCAGAACAGCCTGTAGCCCTTTCCCAAAAGCTGCCCCACGGCACTGACCAAACCCCAAGGTACAAACAGGCAGGAGAAAAGTCCTCGCAGGGCACCTGGGTGGGACAGCAGGCATCTCAACATGTTCAAGGTGCACCAACTTCTACCTGCAAGCAGCTGCCAAGGAGACCAGCTGGCCCAACCTGCTAGGCAAAGCTGAGCCAAGGGCAGGAAGGCTCTCTCTGAACCAAGGTGTCTCTGACTGAAGCAAGGCGGGAG